TTTAGTTCTTTTTCCTTTTTATATTTCTATATATATTCATTTGAATAGAATATATATATATCTTTACAGTCTATCAAAAGTCTACTGTTGAACATAAACATGATTATAGTTATTTGATATAGTTTCAACGCTTGGAAAGCGGGTTGTCAACCACTGTTTTTTTTTTTATTTAGCTGTTATCAGGAAGATGCTGCTGTTTATCTTCTTTGATGTTTCCCTATGTCGCCTCATACACCACCCATGGAATGATATGAGGTAGCAGATAATCTTACACTGCATGGTAAATTAAAATAGAATATTATAAAACATTCGTTTTTATTTTATATACCAACATATTACAAAAACAAACCCTTTGTTAATGCTTTACAACGTATATTAACTAAAACATTTTACCACCTTAACCATTAGGTAACATGATTAAGCCACCTAACCATAAGTAAGTTACCTAAAATAGGCCTTCCCTAGATATCCTCATAGGATGACTTTTACCATAGTTGCCACGCCTGCGTGAAAATATGCGTTATGCTGGTTGGCCACCGCAGTTATTTATTATTTCAAGTTTTCATCGGGAAAGTGCTGCTGCCCCATCCCCATCTTGTATTATTGCTTACGACGCGGGGTAATATCATTCCGTGTACAGACAAATTATCTTGTACGCCACAACTTGCCGCACACAAGACACTAACTTAGCAAAACATGCAGGAAATCGCGGGAGTAGCCTCTTTACCGTGTTTTGTGCTACAAAACCTAAGTGGAAAGCCTTTCCTTTCGGTGGTCTGTGTTCAGCACTGAACTTGTGATGGTATGGTATGTTAAAACATTATTGATTTTTTTTTGTAAAAACAAAACTCGACACGAGGAAATTTTTGTTTATTATTAAATATTTTTATTCTTAATTAATATTTAAGTACATACATGTATATATCACACTTTGTGATAGTAGCGTCTTCACTTAGTGCCGTCAAAATCCAAAGAGTTTATTAAATGTCCAGTAAAATCGTCGTTTCGCCGTTGAATACAGAATGATGATTCTGTTTTTACGCCGTTTCCGCCTGTAGTTTTTAGTCACAGAATGTATTTTCAAGAGAAATGAATTAATCATATGAATTATAAAAGAACATTTTTTTATGGTAACAATTAAGTTTTTTGTATGAATGTAAGTGCTGTGAATATAAATAAACCCATAACGGGGGAAATGGAACAATATCTGGTAACCCAGTGAAAGTACCTCCCGCCTATTTCTATCTCAAAAGCATACGCGAATGCTTTATCTAGTCAATCCTCAATCTACGTGCGTAGCTTGCTACATATTTATTTATCTATGGTCATGCGGCATGCGCACTTGGCATTGTAGCTGTTTTTATGGATAGATTTCGTGTTTTTACTTTCGTGGATTTATTTAACTTGACTCTTGGATTTTCTTTCGAATCACAGGACAGTAGTGTGTTGCGCCCATATAATGAAAATAATGTGATACTTAAGTTTTGAGAGGAATAAAACAGACAATGTACAGCCTCCGGCTGTTTTTTTTTAGATGACATTTTATTGATAATTGCAGAAAATAGTTAAACAATTAAAAAAGGTTGAGTTTTATTTTACTTTATATAATAATAACTACAAAACTGCATTCTTTTGTGTTTTTTCAAATTTATTCAAACAACTTATCACAAGAACGAGTGATTTTACTACATAACCTACAAATCATAAAACAATATAAAAACAAAAACCCCAGGCCCGGCAAAAATATGATTTTTGGGTATAAGAAGCAAATATTTAAATTTTCAAACTAACAAATATTTTAAGTTTGTTCACGCCGGGCCCAAGCTTGTATGGAATCAAGTTCATCTCCTTTCTTCCCGAAATGTTTTAAGTTCAGTATCCAGAATGGAACGCACGCTTTTGGTCACCTGAACCATAAGGTCTGATATATGCCTTTGAATAATTTCCTCCATAATGTTACGCACCTCAGTACGTGTTACAGGGCCTTCGTTTTCCGGGGGGGATGACAATGCCTGTCTTTTGGAGGTTCGTACTGTAATATTAGGGTCACATTTTACTGGTGTGTTATCCTTATTGCCAGTCGCGTGGAGAGGTCTAATGCAACATGGACCGATCCAGTCAATAGAATGTTTTATCGCTTTCAAATTATCGTCATCATTGGTACAAAACGCACAGCAACAAAGTCGCTGTAACTGCAACAGTTTTTTTTTCCAATTGACACGGGAAAGATTCACTACCGTCGCGTCGGGAATATAATAAAATTATAAGTCACCGTTTATAACGGCGGGGCAGTAGATTAATTTTTCGTTAACAATTACTTGCAATTTTTAAAGTTTATAGGTATTTTAAGATTTTTAAGATTAAAACACAATATTCTACACAACGTTAAATTTAAAGTTCACTTAATTATCACTTGTTTCAGTATTTTAAACGTTCTTAAAATAAAGAAAAAAATTAAATTCGCGGAGTAAAATGACACCGCCGCGTTCAAAGCGAAGCGAACGTAGTTTAATAATGTGTATGTAATGTAAATGTACTATGGAATTTATACTATCTCATCTTACGCGCGGACGTGGCCTTCAGGAACATTACTAAATATTTATAACTAACTACTTATCATTGCGACTTGGGAATATAATCCGAAGCTCCACTCAACCCCTTGAGGAAAGTAGCGTGATGCTATATTGAGTTATTCCTAGCGTAGGTACATATAAAATATTTAATGTAAATTGAATTTTCTAAATTCATGCAAATTATCAACAACGTGACTTTTTTCTTTGCAAAATGTCAAGATTGACAAAATAATTGAAAACATTCAATATTTAAAACAGTGTATAACATACACTTTAAGCAAAAATAAACGCGTTATTACATTTCTCAGGTAAATTAATGTTCAATTATCAGAATTACTTCTATTATTAACTCACTCACAGAACAAGTAATCATTTTGTTAAAAAGTTACTTACTAAAATGACCACTATTACACTCCAAAAAATTACAAAATATCTCTGAGCTACCTGTCATTCAAAATCGGTTAGAGTCATGAGATTTGGTATCCTTTTCTATCTTGCATTTTTGCCATAAAAATTTTTCTTCTCCCTTGCACACTTTGTCGGTCTATACGTCAGTATATTTTAAGTCTATGTATAATAGTATTCTATGAAAGAGACCAAAGATGACATTTTTATTTTCACGCATGAATTATACGCAAAATCTTTCAATAGATTTGTCTCTTTTGTCTTATTTGAAAATTAAATTAGAAAAAGCTAGACAAGTATAATGACTTAAATTATGTAGAATTATAGGTGTTCTCATGTATACGTATGTATGTAATTACTCTAAGAATGCAGTAAATGTGCGCCACTAGAAAATTATCTTGCAGCCGTACGGAACGCATAACCTCTCTTCGTTTATACCAAAACATTGACAAACAGTATACAATCACCACCTACGTTCTTTCGGATACAAAATTATTTTAATAACAAGTTTAAGTGCCATATTTTGCCCTTACCGGTGATATAAAATGTCATTATTTTTTATATGACTAGCGATCCGCTGCGACTTCGCACCGGTGATTTCTGTGTTGACATCTACCAGGTCCAATTGTGAATTTAAGCCATCCAGGACCCACAATATTTTTTATCAAAATCCAGCCATTTAAGAGGAGATCAGTGAGAAACATATTATGTACAGTAGAATTATATATATATATATATATATATATATATATATATATATATATATATATATATATAACATTATTATTATGAAGTTTTTATGGGCTTTTTTAAATCATATCTTGGGGAAAAAAATTCATTTGCTGGCCATCTAGGGTAAATAGTGTTTTTTACTGGCCATACTGAACCTCTTTATAATATGTCAATTGTCAAATATATGTCATTAATTATTTTTAGTAGGTAATAGTGCAAGTAGATCTCCGCTAGGAGTAAAGTATTCTGTGGTGCTGGGTAATTTCAACGATTTTATTATAATCCGTACGTTTTAGTATTTTATGTATCTCGTTGTTACAAATTATTTTTCGCTATTGAATACAATTATTCATCTACATCGAAAGTGATTTTTAGTTCTCTCGGATCTCGGATTTCAGAGAAATTGTTACCTTGGACTATAGGTAGTACCATTACCAAGTATGAATATGTTTTTGATTTATTATTTATATAAGTGATAAAATATTATTGAAATTTGGTCAAAGCAAAATATGATGTCTATGAAGTTTAAAATTGGAATATGTATACACAATAATGATACAAAGGTCTTAGCATTTATTTAAAAGGTACATAATATTTCTAATGTAGTGTTTTAAAAAATTTAATATCAGCTATTGCTGCCATGAAAAATATTTGCTGATGTTGCATTTTAAATGATAGTTCATTTAATACGAATTTAATTATTTATTTATTTTTATTTTCTTTGTAGTAAAGTACTGTATATATGAATATATTAATTTTAAAGCTGTGACTTTTATTAGTTGAGAACATAGATACAGTTTGTGAATGTTAGATAGAAAGCTCCTTTTAAAATTTTTATTGTTTTTTTACAATCTGTTAGTAAATTTATTTTAAGGCAAATGAAAAATTAAAGTTCAAAATCATAAGCTTATCCTATAAATAACGAGTTGAATGTAAATTCAAGAAAAACAACTTCCTTCTGCGTGAATCCCATATCTCTGGTGCCCTTTGACCTACAGGACCCAAATTCAAACTCGACCGAGGTAGTACCTCAAGGTATCCACATACCAAATTTAAAGTCAATCGGTCCAGTGGAACGGAAGTTATCGTGTCGGCATACAGACTAACAGACTGCCAGCTAAAACCATTAACAAACTTTCAATGCTACGCAGAAGGAAGTTAATAAATAATAAACTCAACATGGGTATAACAAAACTTATATTTCTTTTGTGTACAGATGAAATACAATTATAATATAAGTGAAGTAATTACAAAAAATGGAATTGACACAGCTTATTTGACTATTAAACAATGAGTGCTCAAAGTGGATGTGTGAGCTGTAATGGGGGATCTGAATTGTATGATGTTAAGCATGATGCTGATTGTTCAGAAGAAGATGCACAGATCCAATTGGCTCCTCATGTTCAGGCATATTTGGCACACAATAATTCTACAACCAACTGCTGTGGATTCGCCATTCCTATTGCATTTGAAAGAGCTGCCCCTGGAACCTGGTGGAATCCCAGATTTGATTCAGAAATCCTTGAAGGACAATATAGGAGCAGTTCCTTTAGACAAATTAGATTAAGATTTAGGTACACAGTATACTTTTTAATTTTTGAATTTACATAAGTCTAACAATTGATTTTAAGTGCTGCTTTTTCTTTTTCAGATTTGCACTTTTATACATTTTAATATTTTCTATATCATGGTTTGTTTACTTTGTTGTTCTTGGCTTACATGGTGTAACAGTAAAGTGGTCATTTCTATGTTCAATATTTTCTGGAGTTGTCTTGATAACTTGTGTGATGCTGTTTGTCACATTTACAGATCTTTATAAGATCTTCACATTTAAACTCTCTTTGGTTATGGCACTGGCTCTGTGTACTCTCAGCCTGTCTCTTGTTACTTTGACAACACAATTGGAAACATCTGTGTCCCAAGTGGCAGATATAAGTCAATCAGGGCATTTTACAATTTCTGTTGAAATTCTACTTATCATATATACACTGACACCGTTGCCACTGTTTGCCTGTGTTATTATAGGAATATTATACTCAATTGCATTTGAAATTTTAAATATAGTTCTGCATCTATCTGACCAAGAATGGCAATATCCTGGAATGTTTGTAAGAGTTTTACTCCAACTTTGCGTGCACATAATTGGTGTGCATATTTATTTGATGACATTTGTTAGAATGCGTGGCACATTTATGAAAGTAGGACAGAGTTTGTTAGTAAGAAGGCAGCTGGAGATGGAAAAGCTACTAAAAGAAAAAATGATACACTCTGTGATGCCTCCAAAACTTGCCAGTTGGCTGATGGAAGAACAAGTTTTAGATTGTGAGACAAATTTCAAGTCTCCACTTAATCCAAGAACGTCAAATCCTGGAGCTTCTGACATCAAGTCTCTATTCAGACCTTTTAATATGAGTTGTATGGAAAATGTCAGTATATTGTTTGCTGATATTGTGGGTTTTACAAGGATGTCTAGTAACAAAGGTGCTGAAGAATTAGTAAATATATTGAATGATTTGTTTGAAAAATTTGATGAACTATGCCTCATTCATGGTTGCGAAAAGATATCCACTCTGGGAGATTGTTACTACTGTGTCTCTGGGTGTCCAGAGCCAAGACCTGATCATGCAGCATGCTGTGTGGAAATGGGTTTAGGTGAGTATTTAAGGTATATTTGTGTTGCTACTTTAATAACAAAATACAAAGTAATATCTTAATTTTTAGGTATGATAGAAGCTATACAAGAGTTTGATAGAGAGCGTGGTGAGGGTGTTAATATGAGAGTTGGAGTTCATACTGGTACAGTTTTATGTGGAATTGTTGGTACACGTAGGTTTAAATTTGATGTGTGGAGTAATGATGTGACTTTCGCAAATAAAATGGAATCAACAGGCCAACCTGGTAGAGTGCATATATCAGAAGAAACAAGTAAATTTCTAGGTGGTTCCTATGTTTTAGAAGAAGGCGACGAGGTATTTGGTGAGTTAAATTTTACTTTTTCATGCATAAGTAACCTTTAATTATTTACTTACTTTTTATTTAAAAGAATTGAATGTGTTCAGGTCATAAAACTTACTTCATTGAGGGGCGTCAGCTAAACTCTCCATATGATCATGATCAGTGTATTACACCTTCGAATCCTATTAACCTTCGCCTTATTATATCTCCTGCAGTCTCGCCGCAGTCCAACCTTTCCTTTAACCACTCTCCCTTGCCACTTTCTATGAGAACACATGATGTATTCAATGATGACAAGAATGGCACAAGCAATAATTTCCTATCCCCTAATCCATTAAAATTTCGTACGAAGGCAAGTTCCCTGCCCAGTATTCTGGATTCTGATGCAGAGTTAGATGAGAAAAGGGAAAAAGGTTTTGTGGAAGAAAATGATGATTCATCAAAAAGCCCAACTTCAGTTGGTAAGTTTTATATGTTCATAATTTAAACATTTAAAGTTATAGGTAAATTACTAAAATTAAATATTGGTAATTTTCAAAACCTAGTTGTATTTACTATTGACCTTAACATTTCGTTTTTGCGTATTATCTGCCAGTTCCAATTTAATGTACTCCTATACAATAATAATTGATCCCCTCTAGATGAAGTGACGGCCTGATAAGACATGCTAAGTTGATGGATGGATGTGGCTCAGGACCGTGTTTCGTAGTATTCCATGGGGGAGGCCTAGGTTCAGCAGCTGTCTTGTGAATTCTTGTAATGATAATGAGCTGTGATGGTTAATTCATTTCAAAATTTTAAAAATGATTATCTTACTAAAAAAAGTATTATAAAAATTAAAATTGTATAATTTGTTTCTTGTGTAGAATGTATGAATTACAGAAACAGAAAGAAACAGAACTATGAATTAAAAAAATATGCCAATTGTTTTTCAAATTTTTCTTTAAAACATAACATATGTTGTGTATTTGAACAGTCATACGATGATCATGTACAAAACATGAACAGTAGTGCTTATTTATCAAAAGTGTCTCTTATCAGTGGCATAAGGCACAAGTCACAGATAAGATATATAATGACGATTGCCCGAAGGTGATGCTCCCGTCACATCACGACACTATTAATGTTTTTGTAATCGGCATCATCACTAATTTGCTTTAATACGATGTGTTATATGTTGAGATTTCGTACGTAAATCGTTTTTATCTTATGGATTCGGTAGTTTAAAAGCTACTTTTATTACAATTACTAAAGTATATTTAAAGATTTAAAGATAGTTGATGACAAGTAATTACTTCTAAATCTCTGCTCTTTAAAATTATAGGTAATTTTGATTTACGATGCAAGAAACTATTCTTTTCTGCAAAAATATTTTTTTTTTGCGTTCCGAAGAGAGAAATTTAGAATAATCTTCAAATTATGTATGTATTTTATCCCTATAGTGGCGGCGAAAGGGTTATCCACTACTTAACCATTAGGCCGCGTTCCGACGACACGCACCCGCTACGCGCAGGCCACGCGCGTCAGCACCCGCGTCTAACTCGCTTTGAAATTTGATGCATATAATTTGAGTCTTATGACAAATCAATAAATCTGAAATTGTATAAAAAGCGGGAGTGCGGAGTGAGCGCGGGATCAGCGCGGAGCGGGAACGAGGTGGGCGTGTGGTGGGCGCTTGGCGTGGGCGTGACGTGGGCGAGGCGTGTGCGGTTGAACATCGATAAATGCAATTTTTTCAGATTTATTGATTTGTCATAAGACTCAAATTATATGCAACAAATTTCAAAGCGAGTTAGACTAATAATCTAAAAATCACCAGTAATGAGGGTGTAGGTATTTGCCGCGGAAACATGGTGAGCGCGGCTTTTTAAGCACGCTTACCATGCATAATCGCGAAGTGTGCAGCCTCTTTAATTACTTCCCAGCGAGATCCAATGATCCATTCTACACGGACGTCATTTCGTGTGTTAAAGGGCTTACCCCTCTATTCTTAGCCAACGATAGGGTTGCCACCTTTTTGTTTTGAATAAATATAGTATTTTTGCCAAAAAAGACGCAAATATATAGCACTTTTGAGAAATTCAGGAAAAAAGTACACATTAATTTTTAATCTTTGTACTTTTTTACATATGTTATTGCTCTTCGCATTAGCTCCATTTAAAATGATTATAGGAATCTGAGCAATTTAGATTCATATTAAAATAAATTAACAATTCATTTTTAATTAAATTTATTTTATCTATTTCTTTCTTCCTTCCATTTAACATTCAAAGTAGTAAAAAGGTCTGGAAAAGCAAAACTTACTTGTTCCAGGCTTCCAGTCACAGTTAATATAAAAAATCGCGACATTTGAATTATGGGAAAAATATAGTATTTTTCATACTATATTATTTTTCTGTTATGTATAGTACGGGTGGCAACCCTAGCCAACGAGCAATGACCCCGGCACTACAGAGCATTTCCGACTACAATGCTCTACGACCCTTCCGTAGACACAGTCGCTTCCCTTCACTGGCTACGTTTTGGTGACCTCTTCGGAGAAACTGAGATATTGTCTTTCGAAATCTGCCGCGCTTGTCGCTATCCCGGTGAATCATTTAATTTACTCATAACTTCCCGGTTGTTCGGCGCTTTCTAACTACGAGTACTTGCACAGACACAACCTAGTAGCCAGGATCCTAGACCTACATCATCCACGAGACCGTAATTCAGGATGAGCCATCCTGAATTACGGTCTCGCATACTACTACGGTGCATTTAAGGTTGAATTTACATTAATGTATATTTATTTCAACTAGTATTACGTCAAAACAATTGGCGACAGTTTTTAGAAAACTTTTGCATGGGATTGTGTATGTAGTTTTTTTTTTTTTATTAGTGATCGATGGATTTAACGATGTATTACTGCATTATAACAAAAGGAATTTTAAAAGCAGTCCTCTGAAATAAATCCATTGTAAATGTTCACATGTTCTAATAATTTCATTTACTTATTAAAACAGCATTTTATAACAAAACTTTGTAGTTGAAATCGAAAAAGTTTCAAGATTGAAATCATGTATTTTATTTTCTAGACTGTTAAACTATTTTCATTATGTAACAGTTCTAGAATACCTCCTTCATAAAGTTAAAAGTATGGTTATGGGTGTGGTTGGATTGGACTGACGTTTGATTTCAGATATTAAACAGTATTCGTAAATATTACACTTGTTGCTTATTTATTTTCGTTGTCATCAACTTTATATTGGGACATTATAATCTTAAAACATTTTTAAATATTGTTGTATGATTTATATTTATGATAGATCACCAATTAAAATGAAAACATAAGCAAGAGAACCTATCTATTATATTCAACCTCAAAACTAACTAAAATGTATAATATTCCTCCAAAGAAGTAAACAGTGAGACTGTATTTTGCAAAGGTCAAACTTCAGATTGTGTTAATATCTATGATATTATAGCATTAGTAGCACTTATCCGCTAAGTGATTGCTCCATAAACATTGTGCTCCCGTAACATCTCATATTTACTAAGATGACGAGTTGCAAAACAAACAAGAGCTCTCTGTTTGGAAATGGACTGTTATTCTTGGCCATAACAGTTTTACGTTTGCTCGATTATTAGGATGTAGAACTGGTGGATCTTAGATAATTCCGGATGTTGACTATTATTAGCCGTAAACAATTTCACGTCAGCTTTATACCCGTTTTATTTCAGGGAGTTACGGCAAATATACTAATAAACTGAAAAATTGGAAGGTACCCAGGTTTCTTAGGAAACATTCGGACACACCGCTCCATGAGATGAAGAAGCAGAATTTCAGCGACAAAACTATACATTTTCTAGAAAGGGGCGATGAAAACATTTCTCAGTCGAACAATGGCTACCGTCAAGTGCCTATCGTGATAGAATCTCCAGACAATAAGACGCACAGGCCTGCTCAAAGTAGTAGTAAGATTCATATACCACAGGGTCAAGAGACGGCTTCGTTTGAGAAGGAGATTATCGATATCCGATCGTATTTAAGTCAGTCTAGATGTAATATGTCGCCATTTGCTAGAAGCAGCAGTTACCGATCGCAGTACGGACGGCCGAATATCGAGGTAATTTTTTTAAATACATTTTTGGTAAATACAGTAATAAGTACCTGGCAGATCGAGCATCGCTCGGTGTTTGAAAGAAAACATATTTTCTCAAGGATGACACCTATCTAGATAAAGTTGGGAAGTAAAACATGTAAATACAAAATTACAGCCAAATCATTAGAGCCGTTTCCGAGAAACAAATTATTATGTATACATCATACTGTAAGTTTCAAAGTACACGAGCCATCAGGGTTCGATCCCCGCCGGCACCAATGAAATTAATTGATGGAAGCAGGCGTTACGTAGCGGAAATCCATTATCTTAGGTGACCACTAAGAATTCTTAACGGTCAGCTACCGCAGAGTACTTCACCTGAGGATACCTCGTATAGACGCTAAACACGTGTCGTATTATTATCGGTGGTGTGTCTTTCCTAGTGTAGTGGTGCTGTGATTAGTGGTGACGGGGATAGTGCACGCAATTGAGGGAGGGCGGGAGGTGCTCTTCACACTAGGCGAGATACATTATTTTATTTTATGGAGCGGACGTGAGCAAAGTAATTTTTACCAACCAATGAAATTGTTGATTGCAATTTTAAGTACCGATTTACCACGTGCTTGGCGGTGAAGGAATACATCGTGAGGAAACCTGCATGTCTGAGAAATAAACATAATATTTCCAAGACGTCAAGTGCGCCAACAAATTCCTCTCGTTATTAGGCTGTAACTACTTTTTGTATACGTTTACATATGTATATCGATGTGTATATAAAGACTGACTGACTAATTATGATAGAGTGCTAGTAATTCTAAGGAATTACTCATACTTTCTGAGTATCTTGCTTCGTTGGGCTTCTCTACAACTTTCGTGAATCACGGTTTGTCTAAATTTGTAACTTATAAAAACTAGCGATCCGCCCCGGCTTCGCACGGTGCTTTCTGGATCTCGACAATAACAACAGCGCCGTCTACCGGGTCCAATTGCGAATCTAAACCATTCTAGAATCAACTTAATCAAACACAAAAAAATTCATTAAAATCGGTCCAGCCTTTTAGGAGTTACACAGAGAGTATACACACGGACAGAACTATGAACTATACTTTTTTAATGTAGGATAAGGCTGACAAGCGAGCACACAGTCCACCTGATGTTAAGTGGTTTCTGTGGCCCATAGATATTTACATCTATCCTCGTTTGCCAATCAAAATGCAGATGCGTTGTCAGCCGAGAGGATGAAATGCCTCTTTTCCAGTAAAAAGGGTCTCCGGTTCTCTACACTCACCACAAAACACAGCAGTATTAAGTTGCTATTTTAAGTTGGTATTCTGTGAGAGCGTGGTCCTTCCCCGGTCGAGCCGACCCATTTGTGCTACCACTATACTATTTATATAGCTGCAGCATGGATCTACCACGTATTAAATAACTAGCTGTTCCCCGCGAATTCACCCGCGCGTAATTTATTACGATTGGATTTCATGGATTTTAATTTTTTGCGCGGAACCCTAATTCTGTTTCTAAAATAAAAGTAGCGAAAGTCCGGTCAAAATCGGTCTAGCCCTTTCGGAGATTAGCCGGAACAAACAGACAGACAGAAAGACAGACAGACAAAATTTTTTGTGTTTTTGTTATTAGTACCGTATATACTTTCATATGAATATAGTAAAAATCACATTACAAACAGACACTTCAATTTAATTTATTTGTATAGATATGTTACGGCTCGACCGGGTTAGTTAGGTTAGACCACGCTCACTGATTACCAAAGTAAAATAGCAGCTTGTTTTATACTGTGTTTCGTACAGAGAGTGTAGAGACCCGGAGACCCTTTATAATGGATACAAGATATTCCATTTTATTGTTCAGGAGTGTCTACGTTAAGCCGCGTATCCACCAAAAATGTTGACAACAGTTATGTTTCCAACTTTTTACAACTGTTTCGAACAAGCGTCTCCACCGAGGGAGCAAATTTTTTTTTTATTGATTATATAAACGTTACCCCCAACCTAGGATTTTCTCCTGTGTCGTGGAGGCAGTTAACAAACATAAATTGCACAAGGACAAACATCCAGACCCGGAACAATTATTTGTAGGCCATACAAATACTTGTTCCGTGCGGGATTCAAACCCGCAGCCCCCAGCGCAACAACTGACTGCTAAGCCACTGCGCCACGGAGCCGTCGAAATGAAACCGTCGAATGTTCGCAACAAGTTTTGTTGGCAACTGTTGTGTTGCAACAAAACTTTGGTGGAGACGCGGCTTTAGATTTGATAAAAAAAAAACCGCCCAAGTACGAGTCGGACTCGCGCACCGAGGGTTCCGAACAAATCGGTAGGTAGGTAATATTTTTATTATATGATGTAACTAAAAATTTATGCTTTTCGCAATTTTTCCTTTTTCTGTGCTATAATACGTTGCTTCGTACCAAATTTTATGATTCTGATTTCACGGGAAGTACCCTGTAGGTTTTGATTCCCTTGCAAATGTCGAAAATTTGCGGCATAAACGGCTGTATCTTTTGATTGCGTTGGCTTAGAAGTTTGATTTTTTCACAGCTCCAAGGGAAAGTAGACTTGAGTATTTCATATGAATTTCAGCTTGATACCTCCACGCGTTCCTGTGAAACCGGGTCTTGACAGACAAACAGACAGACGGACAACAAAGTGATCCTATAAGGGTTCCGTTTTTTCCTTTTGAGGTACGGAACCCTAAAAAGGATAGATTTAGATTTTAGATGAGCTGCAGCATTCATTTACCATCAGGTGGGCTGTATACTCGTTTGTCATCTTTATCCCATGAAAAAAAAACAAATTTTACACTTAAATTTGAACTAGGAACTTTCAAGAAGTCATAATCGAACTCATAGGTATAGACAATTTCATGTTTCAACTCGGACTTCACAAAGTCATAATTTGTGTCAACAGCTATGAGTCAGACAGAAATTAAACTATGTTCCTATGTCACTTCAATCTTATTTTATTTTTTAATAAAAGTGATATCTCCAAACCCTAAACTGTTCTGTACACATCTGTCCTCTGTACTGTAATGCAATTATTTATCGTGCTCGTATACCCAGAGAAATATGTGATTGAGTAAACCTACATATTATGTAGAAACAACGTTGTACGCTTGTGTACTAGGGCACCCTAATGAACTAAGGCACAAAGACAGCAGCGGGTTATAATTTGATTGTTGGCTTTTCTACCGACTTCAAAAAGGAGGAGGTATTCAATTCGACTGTTGTCCTTTTTTATGTTTGTTACCTCATAACTTTGTTCACTTGAACCGATTTCAATGATTATTTTTTTATTTGAAAGCTCGTCCTTCTCATGTGGTCCCATATAAATTTGATCAAGGTCTGACCAATAGTTTTTGACTTATCCTTAATAATATGAGGGTGAAGCTGAAAGTTCTTAGAAACTCCAAAAACTGAACAAACTAGCAAGTTTTTAGTTTTATTATATCTTTTCAAAATAGTGTCTATTTACATCAATACATCGCCGCATCCGATGGAACCACTGAGAAAAGCACTTTGCCCACTCGTCCTTAAGGTTCTTTTCGACGGCATTTTGAAACGCAGCCACTGGTCCCTTGGCGTCCATAAAACGTTTTCCTTGAAGTTTTTCTTTTATTTTCGGAAATAAATTTAAATCGCAAGGTGCGAGATCGGAGTTATAGGACGGGTGACCCAGTAATTCCACGTCTGACGTCGTCAAGTAGTCGATTGTTTGCTTGGCGGTTTGCGATGAGGCGTTGTCGTGGTGAAGGAGGATAGGTCGGATTTATAGGACGGGTGACCCAGTAATTCCACGTCTGACGTCGTCAACTAGTTGATTGTTTGCTAGGCGGTTTGCGACGAGGCGTTGTTGTGGTAGAAGGAGGATCTTATTGCGAGGTCGTTTCTCCCGAACTTTTTCTAAGACAAGTGGCAAACAATTATTTGTGTACCACTCTGCAGTAACTGTTTTTTGATCCTCTAAAACAATTGTTGCATGATGACCTGTCCTTCCGAAGAACGAGGCCACCGTCTTTTCCTGTCATCTGGTTCTATTCATTCGCCACTTTTTCATTCATACGAATAATCTCGTAATCTGGATGTTTGATATACCTAATCTATACAAATAATAAATATGTAAATCGCCGATGTCTGTACATTTTAGATTTATTAAAATAAAAGTGATTGAGAGGTACTAAAAATAAGTAATTAAATACATTTCTACCATTTTTAGAATTATCTGTTTGTCTGTCTGTGTTTCTGTCTGTTTGTTTGTTAACGTATCACGTATAAAGTACCAATTCATATCATAAGAATCGTTAAAGAAATTATAAAGTGTATCTTCTGGTTACATTTAGTCTTTAATTTCATTAAAATTAGTTCATTCCATCAAAAGTTATGATAAATATTCTGAAGTATGGCTACGACGTATAGGTACGAATTTGTTTAATGGTGGCGTTCGTTGAGTCATCAAATACATTTTAAACTAATATCATATTATAAATCATAATTAAATGATGTAAAATAATTTTCTATAATGATATAATTATATCTAAAACGCATTAAACAAAAGTATTACATAAAGAACGTAATAAATAGGTATATAAAAAATATATTAACCTTATTATCTAAATAAGTAATATAATAAAATAGTTAACCCATTTCATACATCGATGGTGGTGTTGCACAAATGTGATACAAAAAGGCAGGTTAAGGTTTTTTTCCCGTAGATGAGTTTCATATTCGCTTCTAATCTTTATATTACACGCTGCCCTACCGCGTGTTGACAATCTCATCTATTTTTTACCGCCGTGTACTCTATGTTTAAAAGAGCTATTAACAATTTCGTTGGTTTCGGCGAGGATCAAACTTTCTTTTTTGCTTACGATGCAGGCCTGATTTATAAGTTCTTTTATGTTTTTTTTATTGTATCTATCGCGTCAATTAATCTCTTTTATTTTTAGAATTGATTTTAACAGCGCCATCTATCTTTAAATCTCTATACATGCGGTGATAACATGCTGT